TCAAGAAATATTTCTTATCTATATAAGACAATTAATTAAAATGGTTGATTTCTATCATTTAATAATATAATTAATCGATAGAAATCAATATTAAAAAATCAAAAGAAATTCTATTTTAGATAATTATAGAGACATTTAAATTCATCGTTTTTTTTAATTCATTTATTAATATAGACATTTTTACATATTTTATTCGACGATTTTAATTCAAATTCAAACTTATTAGATATTATATCCATTGAAAGCATGTTTCATTATCGGAAATGTTGTTTTTTTTTTTCATATAAAATCAAGTGAAGTAATGAAATAGACTAAGATAGATATGCAGAAAAAGAATGCAATTAAAAAAAAGTCTAAAACAAATGAAGGGTATCGAAGAGAACAATGAAATATTTCTATGAATAAATATAAAATAATAAATAAAAATCTAATATTAATTGAATATTTCAATAATAAATTTCTTTCAATATGACATTAACAACTTTCATATGAAATTATTCATTTTTCGCTCCAACTCGATTTATTATGAATTAATCGAAGATTTTTAAAATAAAATTAACTTTCTTTTTTTTATACAAGCTGATCGAAAAGTTCTCAGAACAGTCGTGTCTTTATTAAATAAATGATATATTCAAAAATCTAATTGGATGAAATGTTCAAGATAGTCATCCTTGTTTGTCATACGAAGTCCCATTCGATTAACTTATTTTTTTTTTTGCATATCTATTCAAATCGAATATATTACATGACAGGAACCTCCTTGATTATAGCTTGTTTTCAAGATTGCAAAGGAAATATACTATCTGACTGAAGACAAGGACAATATTGGAAGGTTAACCAATAGTGAATCAGAAAGAGGCACTCAACATGAATGAAAATAGGTGGGTAATACTCAGAGAAAGTGACGCTATTATGATCAATTAATCAGTAAAGATCCCAACTCGATAAAGGATCTAGGGATGGTTAATTAATGGTGTAAGTGAGAGTGCGTTAGTGCGAGAAAATGATAATGGAAGGATGAATACCGTTATTATTTTGACTGATTAACTGCCTATTTTTCGTTCATGTTGAGTGCCTCTTTCTGATTCACTATTGGTTAATCTTCCAATTTCATCCTTGTCTTCAGTCAGATAGTATATTTTCTTTGAAATCTTGAAAACAAGCTGTAATCAAGGATGTTCCTGTCATATAATATATTCAATTTGAATAGATATGCAAAAGAAAAATGAGTTAATCGAATGGGACTTCGTATGACAATCAAGAATGACTATCTTGAACATTTCATGCAATTAGATTATTGAATATATCATTTATTTAATAAAGACAAGACTGTTCCGAGAACTTTTCGATTAGTCTCTAGATTTATTTGAAATATGAGTTTAAAAAAAAAGGAAATATTTTTTTTTTGAGAAAAGTCTAAATAAATTAAAGTACGAAGAATTTATCAATAGAAAAGTATTCCAAAAAAAAAAACAAAAGTCAATTAAAATCGATTGACTTTTTTTAAAAATAATATCAATATAATAATCAACAAGAAAATCTTTCGAGAAAGATCTTTTTTTTTATTTATTTATTATAAATTTAATATTTGTACTAAATCAACTAGACAATGTTCGAACATAGTTAATATGTTCTTTTTTTATGTTTTGTTTAATATCGATATCTTATAGGAATTTTTCCTTCCTTATTAAAATATTTTTTTTTATTAAAAATTCTTATATGATTATTATTAATAGAACATCTTTTAATTAATTGAAAAATTTATTAAAAACGAACAAACTTTATTTTAAACATAATTATAATCAATAGTTAGATTTATAAAAACTTTTGTTTTATATAAAAAAATATCTTCTATAAATATTTTACTATTGTTCATATATTTATATAATAAACTTATAAAATAAATATTATTTATTATTTAAAGTTGATAAAATATTCTTTTATTAATAAATATATATATATATATGTTATATGTCAATGGCATTTATTTCTAAAGTACATATTATTCTATTGACAATTCAATTACTAACCTTGTTTATATCGATATCAATATCGATATATTGATAAAAAAGAAAAGTATTTAAATAAGATAAATGTATTCTTATCACAATAATAATAGATTTAGTTAAATCAAGTTAAATAAATCTTTATATTATATTCCACTGGCATTTTTTTTTTGTTCAAATCTTTATTTATTTTTCATAGTTTTAGTTTTTGTTTATGAAAAATCTCACATATAAATAGTCTTTATGTTATTCATTCACTAAGAAAAAATTTTCGAAGATCGTTTAAGATCTCGCGAAGAATTTTATCTCAGAAGATTTATAACTTGATGATCTTACAAAATCGTTTAAATATCTTCGTAGAAAATTCAATATTTTCTGGCATTAATAACCTATTGAAATTATTAAATGATTCTTTGAATAAGATTCTTCTAATGTTTAATGATCGAAATCTTGTAAGATTTATTCTAAGATGATTATATTCTAATTGACATTAACCTATAGGATTTCTTATAATAAGAGTAATTTTAAGGATTTAAGTTAATATATAATAGATAAAATATGTTCTAATGTCGAGAATAGTTATTATTTAGAATTGAAAGTACATTATCAATAGAATGGTGCTTATCTGATAAAAAGTCACTTGAAATATAATTTAATAAATTTGATTATATTGACAAGTAGCTTTTCTTTTGTTAATATTGTTTATCTTTCTTTATTTCAGATCAATTCAACACAACTAATTCGCTTTTTTATTTTATTATTTTAGTTCATTTTACCGATAAATTCAAAACCAAACGGAAGTTTTTTTTATTTAAGATTATTTTAACGATCAAATTCAATAAAAAGAATTTTTTTTTAATGTTTTTTCAGCGCATATTTATGTATTAATATTCTTTTTCTAATCTTTATAAATAAATCTAGATATGACAGTCAAAATAGAAGACTTTCTTAATCAAACAACATAATAGGAAGCAAACTAGAAGAAAATCAGACATGCAAACCTGTAAGAAATCATAGAAAATCCAACATGAATCATATGATATCTAACATAAAGACCATGAATAACCGTAGAGTACGATTTAATCATAAAGGATATGTTTAAGATTGTCATATACAATGGTACGAGATGGTAGAGAATATTCTATGATTTAGTAAGAAATTATTAGAAAATATTCTAATACAATTGTTTAACTTGATCATCTGTCAATAATCATTAATTCGCAAATAGATTATATTAGAATAATAATTATTGATAGAAATCATTAAACTAATTCAAAACTTTGTTTTTTTTTATCAAATTCTAAAATAAAAAAAATCTAAGATAGAATAACGTTTTTTTTTTCAGAATAAACAAGTAATCGATTTTGTTTGACAGCTTGAAACTCTTCATTATCAATATTCCTTTTTTCTACATTAACATTGAGAAAATTGCCGAAAAATTTGTTTATACGACAATTTCTTTATGACAATATTCAGTTTCGTCTAAGTGTCATAGAGAATTAACCAATTTGCAAAGATTTTCTCATAAAGAACACGCACATATATATATATATATATATATATATATATATATATAAATAGACATGCAAACAGATATAAACTATGCAATACGGATTGAGAATGTCATCACACAAGCAAAAAAAGTCTATTCTTCTCGGGTTTTTTTTTTTCTCTTTTTTCTTTGTCATTCATCAATCGGAAGAGAAGAAACGATCGGCAATTGTTTTTGATCGTCTTGAAGAAATAATAAAGAGAAAGATACTCTCGTTTCATAGTCGTCAACAGACAGGTAGTGAAACATTCTCTTTTATGTCATTATCATCATTATCAATGAGAAACATATATATTTATCTTAATTTCTCTTTCTATAAATCAACATTTCTAAGCGCATCTTGTGTCGCTTGACACTAATCTCTGTATAGTTGCTTTAATCCTGTATCTCTGTGTGCCATCTATTTATCTCTCTGTCAGACACCCTGCAGATGTTGTTTTTCTTGTTTTTGCTGTCATCATCTACCGTGTCCTTTTCCTTTTTTCTCTCTTTCCCTTTTAATATTATGAAAGATAGACGTTTAGTTCGACAACAGAATAAAAACCAAGGTAAAACATTCTTGTTGGTTCGTCTCTCACTGATTGACACCTTTCTTTTTTTTTCTTGTTCTTTGATATTATTATTTTTTTCTTCTAGTTTTAGTGAAAATAATTGTTATTTTCTGATTGTCACCTATTTAGCATAAAATGAAATAAGAGATTCGAAGAAATAAATATATTTAGAATGAGTTAAGTGTAAAAGTTTCGATGAGAAAATGAGATCATATTTGTTATTTATGATGAGAAAAATGAGATAATGACAACAATAAAAACTAACCAATTGAATACTGTTTATTGAGACATACTTCTCTATCACCCGAATTCATTCAATTAGATTCTTTTTTTTACAATATGAGAAAGACAAAAAACAAAAAGAATTTGTCGAGTTGAGATTTCTTTTATGAAATAATAAAAAAAAAAGCAAAAATGAAAGATCTTGTCTGATGTTTATTTAGATAAGATTTTCTATTTCTATTCAAATAGCTAACACATGATTTTCTCGCCTTCTTTCTTTTTTTTTTTTTGTTTTTTTTTGTACGTGCCAAACAAGTGTCGGAAGTCAGCTGTCGCTTATCGTTACATCCTTAATCGAATCATTCTCTTCATTTATTTTTCTATGTAGAAATTATCTTCTTTTTTTTTTACCTAATCGTTATTTATTTATTTATCCATCGATATCTAACGAGAAGAAGGATCGTGTTTAACTCGTAAGAATTAGACAGATAAGTTCTAATAAAAAAGGAAGTATATATAACAGGATCATTCCATAAAAAAAAAAACGTCTATGTTGATTAAAAAAGGAAACTAACATAAATTGATTGAAGTGAGAAGAAGGACGAACGAGTCTCATGGGAATGTCATGTATCCTTTTTTTTTTGTTTTTGTTTTTTAGAAAACTAGCCTATGTCGGATATATCACATGTTGGTACGAATGAAGATTATTTTCAATTAATTGAAACAAATGAAAATCGAATAAATTCATCATCAAGAACGAGTTTTGAAATTTTAGAAAGACAATATGATTTTATTCAACCGAAAAATGATACTATTACATATGAAAATAATTCAAATTCGAATATAAAACAGGATAATTCAAATAATAAGAATTTTTTTTCAAATCTAAGTGAGTTTTTTTTTATTTATTGTTCGAATAAAATCTTTAAAAAATAAAATAGGTGAAAATATTGATTTGAAAAATAATGGTACGGAATCGATGATGAATTCAAATAGTAAAGAAAAGTGCATAAAAACAAGTGAAAACATCTGTGATGTATCACCATCAATGATGCGATCGATTTCTTCTATTTGTTCTCCATCGTCATTTGTTTCATCTAATAAAACGGATAAAAAAGAACGATCGATATTTGATCATCATAGATCATCACTTAAAGGTTTATCTTCAACAAAAAATTTCTCAAATAAATCTAATCGTCGATCAACACTTGCTGCTTTTCATCTATCAGATTTAAATTGTCAAAATAATCTTGTATTTGATAATATAAATGAATATATTCAAGATAAACATATTGATAAAACAATCAGTCATCATTCAATTAATTTAATTAAAGAAAATTCTTTTAATTCAATTGATAATATAAATAATCAATTTTCGACCTCAAATTCAGATTTAGAAGAATATTATGATAAAGGAAGAACAAAAATAAAATTAAGTTTACCAATGAAATCAATTAAAAATAATTCTTATGATAAATCAAATGAAAATCGTTCAAATCGAAATCGAGATAGAGAACAAAAAATAAAAACAATTAGATCTGGATCAATTCAAGGAGAATTTACATTACCAACAAATCCTCCAATAACAGTAACTATTCAACCACAAACAAATATAAAGGAAAATTTATCAAGAGATAATTGTTTTCATGATGATCAAATATGTTCACCTGAACATATTATTAATCAATATAAACAAAGAACAGCAAGTGATTCTCCATTAAAAAATTCATCAACAATTGTTTCATATTTTATGGATCTATTAAAACCAAGTGATAATAAATTAGCTTTGAAATTATTTGGAAGTCGAAAAGGTCTTCTTAAAGAACGTTTAAGACAACAAAGAGCTGGACATTGTATTATTCATCCTTGTTCAAATTTTCGGTTATTTTATTTATTTTATTCATATTTACAAATATATTCAAACATTTTTATTTTTCTCTTTAGTTTTTATTGGGATTTAATTATGTTAACATTATTAATAACAAATGTTATTGTCCTTCCTGTTGCTATTGCATTTTTTAGTGATGAAATTAATTCAGCACGATGGATTAGTTTTAACGTTATTTCTGATGCTTTTTTTCTTTTTGATATTCTTGTTAATTTTCGAACGGGTAATGTTTGTTTTTTTTTGTTTTTCAAAAAAATCTAAATAAATATTGTTTTTATTAAAAGGTGTATTAAGAAATGATTTTATTGATGAAATAATTCTTGAACCACGTTTAATAGCAATTAATTATCTAAAAACTTGGTTTATTCTTGATTTATTAAGTTCACTTCCAGTTGATTATTTTTTTTTATTATTTGATGCGGGAGATAATATCGGAGGATATTCAATAGCACGTACAGGTCGAGCTATTAAAGTTCTTCGACTTGTTAAATTACTTTCATTACTTCGATTACTTCGATTATCACGTCTTGTCAGATATATTCATCAATGGGAAGAGGTGAGATTGATTTAAAAAATTTTTTTATTGTAGTCAATTGAGGGCAGGAAAGATCATCTTATTAAAATAGCGACATCGAGTCAGATATCGATCGATAGAACTTCGTGCGGCCAATTTTCTTCGAGTTCATCTTCCCGTCTGGGTGAAAAACAATTTTCTTTTTCTTTTTTTTTCTTTATTCAATATCATGTCTATTTATTAATTGCATGATTTTATTATTTAATGGAGAATTTATTTATTTTAATCGAAATGTTTTGTTTTAGCAATAGTAATGTTAATGTTTGCGTTTTAAAATTAGTTCGATGCATGTCAAAATACATCCTCTATTAGAATATCTTATTTATATTCAATAGTCACTAATAACAAAAAAAAAAAAGCATGAATATCACATATAATAAATGCATGATCATTATTCGAAGGGAGGAGAATAAGATGTTCCTGCCCAATCGATTTATTAGTGTTTTAAAATATTTTTTAAAATTAAGATAAATAAAATAATGAATATATTTTTAGTTTTTATCAATAGCAAGTATGGTTATGCGCATTCTTAATTTATTAGCATTAATTATATTATTGGCACATTGGAATGGATGTTTACAATTTATGATTCCAATGTTTCAAAATTTTCCATCTGATTGTTGGGTTGCACTTAATGCTCTTCAAAATGCTCCATGGACAGAACAATATACTGTTGCACTATTTAAAGCACTTTCACATATGCTTTGTATTGGTTATGGACGTTATCCTCCTCAAAGTTATGTTGACATGTGGTTAACAATGCTTTCAATGGGTAAATATTCTTGTTATATAATATATCTATTATATTGATAAATATTCTTGTTATATAATGTACCTATTATATTGATAAATATAGTTATTGGAGCAATGTGTTATGCTGTTACAATTGGACATGTATCAGCACTTGTTCAAAGTTTTGATACATCAAGACGTTTATATAATGAAAAAGTATTAGTTATTAGAGGTTTCTTATATAAATAAATAAATTAAATTAAATTTAGTTTAAACAAGTTGAAGAATATATGGCATGGAGAAAATTACCTCGAGAAATGCGTAATAGAATATCTGATTATTATGAACATCGTTTTCAAGGAAAAATCTTTCATGAAGATAACATTTTAAATGAACTTTCTGAAAAATTAAGATTGGTTTGTCTTTTTCTTTTTTTTTTTCTTTTTTTAAATTTAATTTAAATTTAATTTAAATTAAAAACAAAAAGGATGTTATTAACTATAATTGTCGATCTCTTGTTTCATCGGTACCATTTTTTACAAATGCTGATCCAAATTTTGTTTCGGATGTTGTTACCAAATTACAGTTTGAAGTATTTCAGCCAGGTGATCAAATAATTCATGAAGGAACTATTGGAGATAAAATGTATTTTATACAAGAAGGTGTTGTAGATATAATTAAATCAGATGGACAAGTTTTAACAACTTTATCTGATGGATCTTATTTTGGAGGTTAAAAAATTTTAAGTTATTTTTTTAATTAATTATTTATTTATTTTGTTTTAGAAATTTGTTTATTAACACGAGCTAAACGTGTAGCAGGTGTTCGTTGTGTAACATATTGTAATTTATATTCATTAGATTCAAGTCAATTTGAAACAGTTCTTGAATCATATCCATTGATGAGAAGAACAATTGAATCAGTTGCTGCTGAAAGACTTAATAAATTAGGAAAAAATCCTTCAATTATATCAACACGACATGATTTAAAACTTGATACAGCTGCTTTAAAAGATATGATTAATCGTGCAACACCTCAACCATCAAGTGATGAAGAAGATGAAGATGAAGATGAAGAAGAAGAAGGAGATAATATATCATTATCATCATCATTATATAAAAATAAACACAGTCATTTTAAATCTTCATTAACATATATTCATGATCAAATGAATAAATCAAATGATTATTTACAATATTTACATAAAAAAAAAACAAAAAAAAAATCTTCATTCGGAAATAAAAAATCTCAACGGACTTATTTAGCTGCTCCAACATCAACAATTGATTCAACAACAGATCAATATCAACATAGAATTCGTAAATCTCTAACAACTCCTTTATCTCTTTTTCGAAAAACTCGTTCATCAACAACTGTTTTTTCTAATCAACCTTGTTCATAGTTTGCATTTTTTTTTCTTTTTTCTTTTTATGTCAACTCATTTATCAAATTTGTTTTTTTTATTTTACAAAAAAAAAGAAAAATCTAAATATCCGATGTTGAATGGTACAGAGCAATGGCACGTCTTAGTGTGTGTCTGGTACATGTACGGAACACGTGCCGAATGTTCTAAGAGTACGTCATATGTACCAGTAACAACTCTCGAATAAAAAGGATTATTAATGAGATAGTGGTCGCACAATACTATATAAAGACGAGGAAACCATTAGATTGGTTTTATGGTTTTAGTCAATGAATGATGCGCATTGCATTTTCCTCTAAACGCCAACGTTTTTTTCCTATTTGACATAAATAATCCAAAACTATCGTCACCTTATGCCCGTGAATATATTCAAACCTTATAAATTCTAATTAATTTTTTATAAATTTCTATTTATGTTTTTTTCAATAGTTTATTATTTATTTAACCTAAATAATATATTGTTTCATTCTTCTTTTTAATTTAAATCAGGAAAAAAGCTTCAATTAAATTTGATTATTTGATTATATTTAGATAAAGCAAAAAACAAATGTTATAGTACATATTTATTATTGATTCAAAATAATAAATGAAATATGTTTTGTGATATTAACTATGTATTAACTATAAAAATAAAAAGAAATTTTTCTAATGATGTTAAACTTTTTCAATTAAAATAATGTTTTATTTAATCTGAATGATATATATTTTAATAGAACTATTTATCCATTTTCAAAACAAATTTTAAATAATTTTTATTTAAAATAGTTATTTTATTTCGAATTCTATTATACTAGAATCAATCTTCGACATTTAATTTATGTCGCATTATATTTTAAAAATTAGTTTATACAATAGAAATCTTCAGTTTGTAGGAAATTAAATTAACATTTATTTAGATTTATTTTTATTTTTCATAGAATTATTTCAAATTAAAATTTAGGTAAGAAAAAGATTTGTTTACGATTAAAAAAACAAATTTTTCTAATTATTTATTCATTTAAGGAAAAAAAATAAAATAACGTTTATATTTTATTTAAATTTATTCACTAATTAATTACAAGAAATTTGATTTTATGTATCATTTTTTGAATAAAATATTAAATTTTAGTTTTTGCTTTATTTTAACAAAAATTATTTCTTTCGAATTAATTCTTTTCATTTACATTTGTTTTTATTATTCATTTTCATTTTCATCGACTATCAGAAGGGATAACATTGAGACTATCAAAAAAAACGAACTTTTATTTTTTTTATAAAGTCTTTTTTTGTATTTTTTAAATAAAATCAATCTTAGACAGAGAAGCCAAGAAGAAAAAATAAAGCATTTAACTCAAAAATTTCGTTGGCTCGTGCAAATTAATCAATAGAATAAGTAATGAAGTGTATTAATATACTTCATAGCAAGCATAGCAAGTACGCTGTATCGTAGGCGTACCCATGCCGTATCATTCGACATGGTAATGAGAACTGATATAGATGTTTTTCTAGTTTTCTTTTATAGGTTATCATGGTAATGATTACTAGTTTTTTACTAATATTCACTTGAGAAAAAGAACATAATGTATTTTCTAGCATAATCATAATTTCATTAATAGGTTAAAAAAAGATATTAAATAGAATTAATTGAAACGTATTGATATCTCAAATATATAATATTAACGAGAGAACCCTTCGAAATGATTCAGAGCTTTTGAGTTGATCTTTTCTCCATAAGTGGGATTCGATCATACTAGAATAAGACAAAGATAATAAAGGTCTGCACCCATAGCTCTTTCTTATGCAGTAATGGCAAGGGAGAAACGACGTACTTTTGGACTACTGTACTCCACAGAGTCCATATACTCTGACTGAACTTCATGAACTCCGGGAGTAGAACAGCGCGTCATTTTCTCCTTGGCCATAACAATTCTTCGCCTGTTTTGTCATCATTTATGTTATCGCGAATATAGGTTTTTTTAAAAGATTTTGAGTCACTGTCCTGCTATCGACGTTTTACTAATTTCATCACTATCGTACGCACCAAATATAAATCTATAAAATTTTTGAATTTCTAACATGAAGTATATTCTTTTGTTATAGATGTTCGTGTTATCTCACATTATAGAAAGTAGCAACAATGATTTGCTTGTCTTCTGTATTTGTCCATGGATCTATTTGAGAAAATTAACTTTCCCGATAAATAACTTGAATAATGAAAGATAATATTGATATCTGTATATATATCTATATGTAGAATGTATGAGATGGTGCGATAGTTTCTAAATATTGTGAACTTTATTCTTCTATTTGATAAGAGTCTTGTTAATACAAATCTAGCGTTTGGTTTATAGAGATTTCGCCTATTTTCATTGATTAGTGTACATCGATAGAAATATTCTTTTTGATAAACTTTCAGTCTACATGTTAATATTAGAAAAAAAAGTGATTATTTGCGTTGAAACAAATTGTCTGTGTTATTAACAAATGTATTTGATCATTAAATCATTTAAAATACGTAAGTCTAAATAATTTCTCTTGTAACTGTTATTTGTCTTGTAAGATTGAATGATGAAATAATTTGTTTTATCCAGTGTTGTTTGCAATAAACATATTCGGTAATAATTATAAAAAAGATATTTTTTCAATTATAAATTCAAGTGTAAAAGATTCATTCGTGATTATATTAGAATATTGTTCTTGTTCGAATCTATCTGATGAAAATAATGGAGACATATCTTTCGAACGTATCATCATTCTCTCTTTCTTTTTTTTATATTATCTTTTTTGAATCTTGATTTTTGTAGAATCGTCTCGGGCAAATTCTATTTATTTTATTAAAATTTGTTTTTTCAAACTCATTCAATCGATTAAAATTCAATAAAATTTGCCTTTGAAACTGGAAAATTAGATATTAATCAGCTTTAAATTGTCATATTTTAATCAGTTTCATAAAAGAAATTTTCGTCAAATTTCTTTTAACACGTCTCATGTATTCTACAATTAAGTATGACTGCATAGTTTTCCTATGCAAAGATTATTGAAGTTTGATTTGAGTGATGCATAAAAAGCAAAAAATTTGTCAGTGCAATGAATAACATTCTTTGTTAACACATATAGTTTAATGACGTATCAGTGGCGCTAACAGATATTCATATCAGTTAACTGAATTAGTGATAAGAGAAAATTAAAATAGAATAATGTCATCTATAGATACGAATTTTTCTCACTGTTTTCAATCGATCGACGAGTAATACATTCCTAAGAATTTCATTATGGTAGATGTTCCATGGTATGAGAATATTTTTCTAGAAGAAATATATTTATAAACAGTGTTCGGCCTAAATGGATCGGCTTGTCCTGTAATATAATAGAGATCGGGTTGAATGAACCTGAGCAATATGTTGGACTGAATCGGTCGATGAAAAATGGTTGAATTTCGAAGCATGATTCTCATCTATAGAAAAATTCTAACATTAATCGAAAATTGCCATCGAGAGCATCCTAGATGGATAATGGTAATCGAAAAGGCAGAGTATCATCTTCTTCTTCTTCTTCTTCCTTGGATTAAATAATAGTTCGATAGAAATATATCATCGATATATTCAGATAATGATTGTTGATCGAATATTATTATTTTGAATATTGTCTGTCTATGCTAATCGGATGTCATTATCATAGATTGAATCATTATTATGTGAGTTTTTTTCCACTAGATTATGTATTTTCTCAATATATTTTGTCATAATCAATGATATCATCGATAGAAAATTCAATCAATCTGAATATAAACTTAATAGTTTAATATAAATGTTAATTAAAAAAACTCATTTAGTGTCAATAGATATTGATCAAAATGAACAAGTTAACTTCATCATTGGTTACTTTGTTACAATAAACAAATAATCGAGATTATATTAACCTATCGTCTTTTATCAAAATTTATCTTAATATAACCTTGAATATGTTCGATAAATAGGGCATACAATTAGACTTAAACACGGTAGGTTTTATAAATTAGAAAAATATGAAACCCGTCTTATACGATTTGATAAAGTTGAACTGATCCCATCGATTGAAAATCATCTAAGTAAATATATGAGAATTTCGTTCAGTTTTATCGACTTATATCAGATAGAACGATTTTATTCAAATGAGTATTATGGTAAACAAAAGTTTTTTTTTAAAAAGAATGAATAGATTTATCTTTCTTTTGTCTAGGAGAAGAACTTCTTAGCACTACAATCAATTGGCATAGCTGAATGACACATCTACGATCATGGAATATCGATACAAAAATTATATTGAAAATTGTTCCAATTAGAAATCTTAATAGTACAATCAATAGATTTTAATCTCTTCAACAAGTTATTCTGCGTCAGTTAGATATTCCTAGGAATCACGATAGTTTAACTGTAATTGCTTCGATTGTGTCTATTATCGTCATTGTGCTACATTCATATTAAATAATAGAAACTATTCAATTGTCAATCAATCGATGAAAATAATTTTGTTTTCACTAATTTGTCAAATTTGTTGTAAGATGCATCATATTGAAAATAACGACAATTGAATTTGCAAATTCACATTGATTATTTGATTATATTATATACGAAGAACTTGCTCGAATTGAAAATAAAAGCTCTCGATTAGAATGTATCTATCTTTATAATAATATAATTCGATTTTATATTGAAATATAGTTTATTCGAGTTCTATTATTGTTTATATTGATGAATTTCATTATTTTCATATCTTAGATAAAATAAATTATATATAAAGTTATATACATAAAACAAATAAACTTAAATCTCGCAATAATATTTATCTATTAACAATTATTTTTCTTTATTACTTCCCCATTTGTGTCTTTCAGGTATATAATAGACAAAATTGCATTCTACTTCAATGTTCTTCTACCTCATATCACAAAAACAAGATTATCATTGTTTATCTCTTGCCAATTCATTATTTAATAACGAACGATGTTTATTTAAAGATAT